TAAAAGCACGCAAAGTTGAGTTGGCAAAATGTTAATTTTCTTATTTAGGTATTTTTTTTTATATAGTTTTTGTTTATGTTTTTAGGGTGGCAATATTTTTTCGACATTTTTTTTATTTCGGAGCTCACATGAAACAATTTAAGTTTGAAGTATTCAAGTTTCAACTCAAAAAAAAATAAACGCCGCTCAAAAAACTCAACTAAATTGGAAAAATAGTAGTGGTTACAAGATCAAAATTATTAAAAAAATCAAGAAATGTATTTCAAAAATATTGAGCGACCAATAATATTTTGACTTAAAAATGTATTATGTTCCTATATGACCTACAAAAAAATAGTGAGAAGCCAAAGATTTTGAGAAAAAAGGTTGGTTTAAAAAAGTTTTGAGCGACGTCTAAAATTTTTTTATCTGTTGAAACTCAAATACTTTAGACTTATTTTTTTTATTTGATCTCCAAAATCAAAAAGATTTCGAAAAAATACTACAACCCTAATGTTTATGGTTAAATAAAATCCTTTTGTTAAGAAGTGACATTTCTTTGAATTTATTATATAGGTAGGGCGGAAAATTATTATTAGACCCGGGGCGCAAATTTTTATAATCCGGCGCTGGTGTAAAGGGTCTTGTTTTGAAGGCCCCACATCAAATAAAGAGTTCTTGCCAAACATTCAAGAAGCATTAAGAATCACCAGACAACGTGAGGCAGACAAATTAAAAAACAGCAGAAAACACCAGAGAGTGAAGCAACAAATGATAATCCTCAAAACTATAGTTTTGTATACAGAGTCAATAAGGATACTGTAAAAAAGGAGCAAATTTAAAAATTTTAATGTTTTTTTGTATATTTTAATATTTTGTTTATAAATTTTGTTTGTGTTTTAATTGCCCATTTTATTTTATGCAAGAAAATCTAAAAAACTATATATATTTATGGGTTTTGAAAGACAAAAGGACTGTTTATGTTTGCATCAAATAAATAGTATTTTGCCTTTCAAAACCCATAACTTGATTTTTTCAAATATTTGAATTATTCCGCCAAAATTGGGAACGCATGCGCGCATCCGATTCGTATTTAATCGAAAATCAAGGTTTAATATCACATTGAGCTCAAATGAGGAATCAACTTGATATGTTTAAGATCTTAAAGCTTGATCCCAGTAAGCATCAAACACTCGGCCCGCTTGCGGCCCGCGTTGTGGTACCGTTTAGCCATGTTCTAACCGAAGTGGGCCAGCATAGAAAAAGTATATATGGGCCAGAATACGGCATGCCGCTGCAAAATCCTTCGGTTTGCCATAGCCGGCCTGCTTACGGGCGGAATACGGCCTGCCGCTGCATAAGCAATACATCTCACGGTTGCTTACGCAAGCGAGCTAACTATAAATAGCGATGGATTGCAATATTTAGTTGGAAGTGTGCGTCTGTTTGAAGTCCCCATCTTCATCCTCATCTGCTCAGTAACGAATAATGGCTAGCTATAGTCGATTGTGTTAAACCTATAGGATATACCTATCCAGGACGTCTGAAGGCTTTTTTTGAATTGCCAGGCTGTTGTGGTCGGCATTCGGCCAACTATACACAGCCGACACTCAGCCAATTAAACATAGCCGACATTCGGCCAGGTGGACATGCCCGGTCTACACGCCGGAACAAATACATGTGTCGTCCGACGCGGCCGATTCGGCAAAACGTATTCGGGCCGGCTAGCTTGTGCTTACTGGGCTAAAGTTAATTTATTACAAAAAATAGTTTTTATTCACAATTTTAAGTTATATGTAATATTTTGATATGATTTTTTTATAAAGCAGGGCCTTTCAAATTATTTGCACCCCTTTAATTTCCAAACAGCTTGAAATTGCCCTTGCGGCCTTGAGTTTACGGTGAATTCACCGTTTGCGTGAATTCACCGTGAATACACCGTTTATGTGCAGTGAATATACCGTCCATTTGTGACATTTGTAGACGGTAATTAAACGGTGAACTCACGCTGTTTTTGCGATAAATTCACGGTGATTTCACGGTAAATTCACGGTGAACTCAAGTTTGCAAAATCACCGCAAATTCACTGTCAAAGTACCGTAAATTTATCGTGAAATCACCGTGAATTCACCGTAAAAGCGCTGTGAGTTTACTGTGAAAACATTGTAAATTACTGTACAGTACCACGTGGTAATGTAAATAATAAATTATTTTAATTGTTTCTAAATGGTTGTTTACTTTTTAATAAATAGTAATTTTGTTGCTAATAGACGGTATAAATAATTAAATAAAAAATTAATAATAAATATTAAGATTTTTTTATTTATAAACATTATTAAATAAATAGTTTGTTTATACTTAAATATTGATGAAGCGCATTTATTTTACAAAAACTAAATTCACAAGTTCAACAGTAAAATTTAAAGGGTTTATAAATTTACCTGCCTACTTAAACATTATATTGTTATTCTGGAAGTTATAAACTACCATACATATTTAATAAACGACGACATTGAAAAGCCAAGTCCGTAGTGGTTCCATTGGCCTTGAGTTCACGGTTTATTCACGGTAAATTCACCGTAAATTCACTGTGAATTCACCGTGAATAAACCGTCTGTGAAATGTGCGTGAATTCACCGTCTAACTACCGTTTACAAATGTCACAAACAGACGGTATATTCACGGTGAATTCACAGTGAATTTACGGTGAATTCACGGTGAATAAACCGTGAACTCAAGGCCGCAAGGGTGGTTTTAAACTAATATATCTACCCCAAATTTTTGTTAGAATTAGAAATATATGGGGACTAATAATTTGGACTACCCTGTAATTTTAAGTCTACAATGGTAATGCATTAACCCCATTTTTTAAATATTATATAGTATTTTTTAAAAAGATAATTTTGGTTTCATTATTATAATATCACATTGCTTTTTTAATTTTTTTATGTATTCATAGGTTCATTAATAATTGAAGACCCAAGTGGATGAAGGTGCCAAGCAACACTTTTTTCAAAATTGAGTTATTCGCACCAAATACCATAAATAAGTTTTAAAACTGCTATAATTTCTTGCAAAAATCATTTTCTGGCAAAAACTCCTTAGTTACCTGAGGTATTCATGTCTAATGGTGCTATGTACGCTCTTTTTTATTAATTTTCAGTGGATAAAGGTGCTATGGTCAAATTTGGTTACATAGCACCTTCGTCCACGGAAAATTAGTAAGAATTTTGCAGGAGCCGGACGCAGATATTTTATCCTTAACCAACGTCCCGAGTCCGCCCGCTTGCCGAGTCCCGCTGCAGCGCGCTGTCACACTGTAAATCGGTATTATTTTTTCGAGCGATAGGACTTTTACAATAAGCTCGGTAGCTCGATGGAAGGGCGCCTGCTTTGCATGCGAGAGATATGGGGTTCGATTCTTGGTGCCTCTACAACTTTTTTAATTTTTTTTTTTAAGAAATTATATACCGAAATAATACAATGTGGCCTTAAAAGCTTTTATATTTAATTTTACATTAATATTTTAATTTATATACCTTTCCTCATAATAATTTTGCAACAGTTATATAATATAAAATGTAATTAAATGAATATTCTTTTGTTGAAAAATTTGTACTCAATGGGGCAGGGGGGGCCAATGGGGCGGGGTCGGTTGGGTTGGGTTGTTTGGTTTGGGTTGGTTTCGAAGCTTCGCAATTTTTCTGTACCTAGACGTTAGTCACTGAGTCCGCAAGCGCGAGATGACTCGGTAAAGCAGTGGGACTCGGCAAGCGGGCGGACTCGGGACGTTGGTTAAGGAAAAAATATCTGCGAGCCGGACGTACATAACACCCTAATTTGAGGTTATGTTTAAGATTGTGGTAGAAGATGCGAATGCGATTTTTGTTTCCTTTACCTAAAAGTGAATAGAAAAGCTGATATGTCGCGAGGAAAATATATTGTGTCACTGGTAAACGAGAAGAGTGATGAAGTGAACCTAAAGAAAGGTAGGAAACTATGTTGTTTTGCGGTTTAAAAAAACGCTGTGACTAGAGGCACGTTAACGTGCCGCGATTTGAAATGTTAAAGGCACGTTAGTTACGTCATAAACTCAAACCATCCCAAACTCAACAACACAACCCAACCGACCCCGCCCCATTGGCCCCCCCCGCCCCATTGAACAAAAAACCGAACTAAAATGGGCAAATTTATGTTACGATAAAAATAAAACCATTGAGTAAAGTTCTTCTTTACTCAATGATAAAACACTTTTTAACAAAGGAACAACATATTTATGAAATAAAAAAAAGTTCGACAACTTCTAGTAGATTTTATGTTACGATAAAACTAAAACAAACCAACCAACCCAACCCAACCGAACACTGTTTAACAAAGAAACAACAAATTTATGAAATAAAAAAATAAAAAAATTCGACAGCTTCTTGGTATCGAACCCCGGACCTCTCGCATGCCAAGCGAACGCCCTACCATATAAGCTATCTAGCTTGATGTCAAATATTAAATGGTCGGGGAACAAAAACGGATTATAATTATGACGTAACTAACGTGCCTTTAATATTTTCAATCGCGGTACGTTAGCGTGCCTCTAGTCACTGTGTTAAAAAAAATACATTTTGAGGTTATGTGAGTAGATATTCCTGTAAAAAAATATTTTCAGCATTGTTAAGTTTTGCTGATCTTTCCGGTTACTTTTCAAATTATTTTTTTAACATCTACATATACAACATCTAAAATGTACCCACTTAGATACTTATACAAAATAAAACGCTTTTAAAACCGGTAGCCGGTAATTACCTATATAATGCAGGTTAGCACTTTTTGTTGGGTTAGGCCAGGCTAGTTATTTTATTAGTTTTCTTGAGAAAATCCATTAAAATTGCATTTTCGCGTCTGGCGACTGACTTTAGCATTTTCCCTAATATAAGGACAGCCTATGTAAAAAGGTAAGGACTGTTGGGTATTTAGCCATAGCCTATATTTAAATAAGTTTTACCACATAGTCTTTTAACTTATTGTAGATGCCTGTGACGACAAACTACATACAGAGACTAGCGCGAAAGATTTCGTTGAAAAGCCAGTTCAAACTAAGAGTTCTGCATGTCTCACGCATACCAAGTTCATCTAAAGAAACTGTTGAAGGTAAGATTATTTTTCTGCTTGTGTCCGAAAAGTACCTACTATGTTACTTACTACTTGGTGCAGTAAAGTGTTCTTTAATGCTCACAAATAGAAAACTACAATCACCAATCTGAAATCGAATGCAAGTAAATCCTAGTTGAAAAATATTGGATTCGAGATACTTTTTTAGTCTTTAAAGTTCAGTCTTCTATTGTATTCCAGGTACCCCTGTCAACCACCTATATTTAGAGACGAGTTCAAAAGGTTCCGCAGATATTACAGCTCAGATTTACTTTTCTGAGTATATGTCACCAACTCAAAGCACAGCCAAAAAAGATGTTGTAGATAGAAGCCCATACTCTGTACATTCCTACACTAGTGAAGAAGTTTCATCAGGAAGTGAATATGAAGCTGAAAGTAAACATGAAACCAGTGATAGCTCCGATGATGAACCATTGTCCAAGAAAGCAAAAAAGAATCGCCATACTACCCATAGTCCCACTCCTAAACAAAAAGTTCTTTCGGTTCATGTCACAGCAGATAGTAATACAGATTCGGTTCAGTCAGAAAAAATAAAATCAGCGATAAAACCAATATTTTCACCCAAGGAAAGTAAATCAAGGGTTCGAACAAGAAATCCCGATACCTGGAAAAAAAGGAAAGCTGCTCTGGCTAGGGAACATGGTCAGGAATACATATCTTATAAAGGAAAGCAAATGCCAAAGAAAGAAATTGAATTGGGACTATTGTTTTCGGAAAAGTGTAGACTAAAATGTTCAGATCAGTTTAATCAGGAAGATCGAGAAATGATTTTAAAAAGATATTATTCTATGAATAAAGAGGCTCAAACTGCCTTAATATTCAACAGCATTGACGTTAAAAGACATAAGAAAGCTGCACGTAAGGAAAAAAGTTAACCTTTACATACTCAATTTCTTTTAAGAAAAAAAATAATACCGGTGTGCAAAATTGCACTTACTTCTCTTTATCAGTTTAGCAGGAAAAAAATTGCAAGAATCCAGAAGATCCTTAAACTTGGACAAAATTGTCCTTCACCTGATAAAATAGGTCGCCACTCAAACAGACCCACAAAGATAAAAGAAGAGGTAGTTAATTTTATAACTGACCACATAAGTCAGTTTCCGGCAGAAGAGTCGCACTACTCTCGCAATAAAAATATCTTTAAAAAATACCTGTCGCCCATTCTTAGTGTACCTCAGATGCATAAGATGTATCTTGAGAAATGTGAAGATAAAGAAATGGATGAGTCCTATAAAGTTAAGCTTTCTTTCTACGAACACATTTTTAAAACAAAATTTAATTTATCGTTTGGTCATCCAAAAAGCGATACATGTAGTGTTTGCGATTCAAATAAAGGTACTGAAACCCATACCGAAAATTACCATGCTGCCTTTGATGCACAAAATCGAGATAAACTGAAGCCTCAAAATGAAAGAAACACTGTATTTATAACTATGGATTTACAGCAAACCATGCCCCTTCCTAAGCTAACTACAAACAAAGCTTTCTATTTGCGCCAATTGGCGCCAATGCCAAAGTTATAAAACCACATTTAAATGTGGTTTTATAACTTTGGCATTCACTGCATCAATTCAAGCGAAGTAAAGCCATTTTTCTTTAATTGGACAGAGGATGTAGCTAACCGTGGTAGCCTTGAAATAGCCAGCTGCCTTTATAAATTTTGTTTTTTGATCAAAGAAGTATGTAAGGTTGATCATCTTATAATATGGTCCGACTCTTGCGCTGGCCAAAACAAAAATTTTACGATAATATGTCTTTACCAGCTTTTGATTCTAAACAAGGTTTTCAAAGTTATTGACCACAAGTTTCCAGAGGTCGGACATAGTTACCTAGATTCGGACAGGAACTTCGGAAGAATCGAAAAAAAATTGAGAAAATGGAAAAATATTTACCTACCCGATCATATTTCCAGCCATAACCTCCACATGACCTTCATGAATTTTCTATGAATCCTGAAAACAAATAGTAATGTACTTGCAAAGTATTAGTTGTATTATAAAATAGAACTTACCTATATTTATATGTTTAAGTTTCTTTCCGTTTTTCTAGCAGATTCTAGGAATAGGTGATAGTTTTCTTGTAAGTGCTGTCATTTGCAATTTGCGTTTGTTTATGTTTTTTTTTGTGTTTAATTTCCATTGATTAAATAACCATTGTTATGTAATTATTCTTCATAATTTAATTTCATAAATATTTTTTTATTATTTTTCTTCGACAATTGAAGCTGGCTGAAAATTAAAAATAAATTAAAATCTAAATTATATTCAAATTTAAATACATATTATTTTTTTTATTTACATTAATTAAAATATTGGTAATGCCTATAGTTAAAGCTAAAATCCTCTAAACAAATTTGGTTCTAAATGAAAATTACTAATTTTTTTTAAGATCTAGCCACGTTCTTTTCTATTCGATACTTTGAAAAAGTCTGTTGTGTTTCAAGCCAAATAAAAATTTATTTAATTCTATTATTATAAAGAACAAGGTAAATCTTTTTAAATTATTTTTTTTTATTTAATTTATTAATTTAATAATTTACTTACATTTTTCTTGATTTTTTTGGCACTTTGTCAATGTGGCCACATGGTAATTTTCCTAATGCTTCATTTTGTTTAACACGTTAACGGCCACGGCGGTTAATTAACTTCACTTTATCATCATCATCTTTAATATAAATTTTGAAGAGGTAGATCAAGGATAATTCTTGGAATATCTTGTATTCATTTCTTTTGTGGAAATTGGAGAAGTTTTTCAAGTTACACAGTAATCCGTTAGATTGTGAAGAATATATTGTCCTTTGTGTTACCTTTGTACATCGTCATCTACTTGTGAACCATCCTGTTCAGCGACTAAACCGAAGCAACCTAGAAAACAACAGGCCTTAGGAACATCGCCTATTTAAAATAAGGAAATACTACTCACTAATTTTATATAATTGTAAAAGGTAAACTGCAGTTTTTCATTATTTTGTTGTTGCCAATTTTATGAATTGTATAAATCAATCATTATTATTATTTTTTTCAGTGTATGCTAAAAGGGGTATAGTATTTTACTTAATTTTGTTATAGATAGTTTTACAAGCTTACCTAAATATCAGCATTAATAACAGTTGTTTTCTTTTCACTGTGCTATGCAATTATAAGTAGATTTTATTTGTTTTGTTGTCCGCGTATTAAAAAACTGTGTGTAAAAACTGGTTCTTTTATTTTATCATCTTTTTGTTTTATTTCAGAAACTAAATAATATTTATAAAATTTTCTATTTAACAACTATTACATATAATTTTTTTTTCAAGTGAAAATTAATATTTCGTTTACTTGTTTAACACATAGTTTAATTTGAAATATTTGGCGCCCATTTAAATAAACATCTTTTATAAAACTTAAATTTTTAGTAACCAACACCAACACACGATCTAGCTTACGAAGTCAAACTGACAACTAGCCGGCGTGTGCGTTATTTTATTTATTATAATACTATAGTAAAAAATACGTTACACAATTTGGCGAGATGTTATAAGGCATGCAAGTAAAAAGAACGCAGAATGTATCAATATGGAAAATAATTTTTATTCTTTTGATAAACTTCAAAATACATTATATTTATACAATAAAAAGACCAATCAACTAGGAGAAAAAGTTCAGTTTAGAGATAATATCAAATGGATAAGAGTAGATGAGTTTGGAAATTATTTATACAAAGAAAGCTTCTATGAAATGACGCCATTTCACAAAGTTAACTTACTAAAAAAACGAAAAATCATTACCGAAGAATATAATGTAAGCGTGACAATAATAAAAAATAAAATAGGTGGACTGACAGCTGAAAAATCAGATAATTTGCGTCAACAGCTACAGTTTGTCAAAGAGCCATTCAAATGGTTTTATGAAAAAATATTGGAAGAACAGAGCAATAATCCAAAGCAATCAAAGAAAAAACGAAACACTATTTAAAAGCTTAAGTTTGTGAATTTTAGTATTGTTTTGTTCTTTTATAAGGAAAAAATAAAACTTTTTGTTCCATATCACCTTTACTGCTTATGTTTTTCTTTAAAAATTCCGTGGATAAAGGTGCTAAGTACACTCAAACTCAAATTTTGAACTTAAATCGATTAATTTTTAAAGTGTATGTATAATAGAAAATCATTCATTGGTAGAACCTAACACGTCATGAAAAAAAAGGATAAAATTTATCTTAACAAAAAAAATTGTAATAAAATACGCGAAAACTGTTTTTTCTCGAAATAATGATTTTGTTGCTTGGCACCTTCATCCACTTGGGTCTTCAATTATTACATATTTTTTTGTATAACTTTATTTGAAAATACGATAATTTTATGAGGTTGGTACGATAAATCCGTTTTTAAGACTTGGCAACACTGGTGTAGAGGTTGTAAATTTACATACCTTAAGCAGGGTTGGGTCAGTAGAAAACCTTAGGTAATTTACCTTGGTAGAAAAGGGTAGAAAACTTGTTTTCGACTTGCGTCGAAAACCTATAGGGTTTTCTACCTACGTAAATTACCTTATTCGACCTTCTCCTTCCACTTCTCTATAATTGATAAAAATTTGCCCTCATGCCAAAAATTATGTTCGGGTCTCCCAACCAAACGTGGCCCTTTTTTTCCACCATAATAATGTTAAAAAACTCCAAATAACTTCAAATTTATGGTAGGTGTCTGATTTTTCACAACATTTAACAAATCATAATAAACAACAAACTTGCATAACCTCACATTTTTTGATATTTGACACTATTCTACTTTTTTACGTTTTCTACCGTCGAAAACGTCGAAAAAGGTTTTCTACATGTCGAAAACAAAAATGTAAGTAGATACCCAACCCTGACCTTAAGGTATTCACAACCTAAAATAAATTTTAAAATTAAGCAACAAAAGTTTGAAGAAAAAATTTGATTTGAGTTTTTAAATGCAATTTTTGTTTGTATTTTATTAGTTCTTATCATATACCTATAACTTATAGGAGTTATAGATATATGCATGCATGGTTCTTAAACTTTTTTTGGCTAATTTTTTGTCTTTATTTTTGTGTAATAATATTACATAGGTATTTGATATTTTGTATTTGTTGTATTTTTTAATAAAATATATTTTTTTCAAGTTGTTTTTAATTCTACCAATATACCAATATTTTAACAGTCTGGATTTAGGAATTTAAGTTTGGTTACCAAGTGAAAGTCAGTAATTTGCCGTGTTTGGGTTTTATTTTATAAGTAAAGGCACAATCCACACAGTGAGTAAAGGTATAAAGTGTTTATGAATAATTTAATCTTTCTGTTTTGGTTAAGATTTAATTTTTAATTATATTTGAGTTTAAATTGCTATGTAACTTTTAACTGTACAGACTGTATAACAAAGCAGACTGTATAGCTCAATCTGCCACTGAACGAACTAAAAATTTACTAAGATGGTCAGCCATTTATTTATCTGATTTTGATTTGGTGAATTAATTGCCCAAAATCTAAAATATTTTGCTAATCGATTGTTGAAAATGGGGTAAAAAGGCTCAAATCTTGTTGGTAAGTTCTGCTGTACACTACAATTCCTACAATTCCTTGTATTTTTTGTAATTAGGCCTTTTTAAAAAACCAAAAAAGTATTTTTGGTTGGATTTGCCTCCTTGGTAAATATTTTTGGAATTTTTTGGTTTAGTGAAGCCATGAGTGAAGCCTAGTTTGACCAGCGCTGCCAACTAAAAAAACTGTTTTTCCCCACATCGTGTGGTAAAATTCACCACAGCTTCCTAAAATTCCCCGCACATACTAAAAAACACAGATAAAATTTTTATATGCGGAAAAACAAATAACTGAAACTGAAAATTTTACTTTTTCCTCGTCATTAGGAGGAACTTTAGTTAGCCATTTATCCATCATGTAGTTATTTGGAATAGAACCTTGTAAATTTGAATATTCAAAGTACACACGTGTTTAAATTTAAACGTTACAATGACAACACTGCCCAACTATGGAGAAAGGCAGTAACTGGTAAACAAGAAATTTGTGGGAAATTAGCATAAACTACATTTTTATAAAAAGCAGTAGGTATTTAACTGATTTATTTAACTTATAAGATAGTTTACTGCATTTCTTTGTTGAACTAAGATACAAAATGTCCATAGCTTTATCATAGCACAAGAAAACGCATTTATATTTTTTTTGTAGTTACTGCCTTTCTCCATAGTAGGGCAGAACACTGGCAAATAAAAACCGATAAGCTGACCACGCGTGGGATGAAATAAAACCATAGGCCTATGAATAAAACCAATTAGATTTATCAGGTTATCGGTTTTTATTTGTCAGTGTTGACATTGTAATGTTTAAATTTAAACATTACAATGACAACATTGACAAATAAAAACAGAAGATTAATCTTTGTGTATAAGCTTGCGCAAAGCACCCCGCGACGTGGCGATGGCTCTTTTGTCAGCTGGGTGCTTTGCGCAAGCTTATGTTCTGCGATGAGCGACCATCGACAATTGTAGACCCAGCTTAACACATTCCAAAA